CAACACTAACATATTTATATGCTCAGAAGTCCTAATTTCTTTCAAAGAAGAATTTTTTTCACTTACAGACTAGCTACCTAAATTGATTCGAATAAAACGGATATAAATATATAATTGATAAAATAAAGTATTCTAGCTATTAAATGTTTATTACAAAGCCTAGATAAATTAACATTATTTTCCTGTCYTCTTCCGCAAATTTGCTAGCAATATCATCTACGTTTACTTTGTTAGTAATATCTCTTTCTATATTCAAAATAGATAAAAATGTAAAGCTATCTTGTGCCATCGAGGATCTTAGCCAATTTTTTATTTGTGTTATTGAAGAAAATGACCTTTCACAGGTGGCTGAACTTATAGGAATAGATAAAGCTACTTGTAACAATTTATAAAGGTTTAGATATGTTTGTTTTTCAATCACTTCATTGACATCATTCAAATTGAAATCCTATAATTATTATAATTAATTAATTAGTTTTCATTATTTTGTTATATAATTTATTTATACAAAATAAACATATTACCAAATTACCATAATGATCAATAGATTTCATTGAATCAGTTGTATCTAATTTACAGAATGAGTCAACTGAATTAGCCATASCCAAACTTTCATCAGAAAATCTATACTTAAGATTGGAAAGATAATACAACAAAATGAGCCTGTATTATTGATAATTAACCATAGGTAATAAAATATTTGATAGTAATATAATGATAATATTCATATTGTTGATAATTTAAAACTATAATTAAGTACTAAAGACAATAAACACATAAATTATGGGATTCAGGAATGTGCACATAACTTTCCAAAACTGGGTGGGCTACAGACAAAACTGGGTAGGCTATGCCTACTCAAGCCCCCCCCCTATTTACGCCTATGCATGAAACTGACTTACTTATGAACTTTGTTAATTTTTTCAGACTTAAGTAACACTTGTGAATACTTTAATGCAATCACTGGATCTCCTAAACATAAAGCTATATATGCTCCAGCTGATTGAATGCAGTCAAAAAGATAGTTTCTGTCGGATATGTTGATGGGTTTGTGAGAAGGTGAACAATCAATAGTATTGTCTTGAAGTAATAAAACTGCATTACGCACACACAATGAACCAAATTCGAGACTTGGCATTGGAATAGATGCGGAAACTGCTTCGCAACTGTGAGGTAAAAAAAAAATTATATTCGATGATTTTGAAATACACAATGAGTTTTTAAACTAACCTGTATTTTGTGTCTGCAAACAACTGTGACTTCAAAATAATTTTCTTGTGCTTGCCAGAACCAACCACACCTTCAATAAAAGGTTTCTTGAAATCAAAGTCTCTGTCGTTGCTCTAAAATTAAAATATATTTGTGCATTTCTATACTTCATAATCATGGTATAATGTGGGCACTCCTACTTACTTTCTTGTGAGTCATAATACAGCATTCCGCTAATCTTAACCATAGCCTAGGGTTCATATAATAGGTTTGTACAGCTTCAACTAGACAGTCAAATGCTTCTTCAGGTTTTCGAGCATGCAAGAGACTTATGCCCAAGTTGAACATAAGCTCAGTTTTAATGCTCGCACCAATTATATGAAGTGGTTGGCCTGACAGAATACCTTCAGCTATTAAAGATCCAACATTTATTACTGAATGCCTAAATAATTTATTGTTTTTAAGATCTACAAGTGGTTATTAATCCATACCTTGATTAGGTTTTGTTACATCAGTGATGTTCTTTTGGTGTTGAACAATTGCTTTGTAAATAGATGTGAATGCTAAGGTAGGTTTATTAGCATAATGATACAAACAAGCTAGATTATTATTTAATAAGACTGAAGAACACTCTCCAGTCTCTCTGTAACAGAAATTATGATGAATGAAAGATAAAATTAGGTTAAAATATATAATGTTACACATTCATACCTAAAGTTGTCTTTTATGGGAATTTTTTTCAAAGTCGATAGTGCTTCTTTATGATTGCCACAAAGGTATTCTAATTTCCCTGTCAAAAACATTGTAATGGAGTCCTGAAAAATGATATAGAAAATGTGTTGTTAAACTATTATAAAAATAGTATAATTGGTTACAAAAATAGTAAGTGAATAGTTTACTTGTTTTTCTTTGATTGTTCTTAACTGCTGACTACATTCATCAAATAAATTTAGCTCCATTAGAGACCTAACCCGATACTGAATAAGACTGACTCGAAATACATCAGTGGTAGCATCTAAATTAGTTTTCTACGAAATTAGATAAAACGGACATAATTATTTGAAAATTTCATTAACAACAAATCCAGTAATATTATAAATACTATACGTTTTCTCTTTTTTTCCTTTCATTGAGTAAATTACCCGTTTGATCTACATTACCAGTCAATATGTTAGTGGCATAATCTGTTGATACAAATTGACTTTCAATGTAAGCAATCAATTTCAGTGCTTCTGCAGGTTTTTTAGTATCAATGTGTAATTGGACTATCAATAGACATACTTTATGAGCCAAATTTTCCTCTATAAAAGATCAATAATTAATATATACGCACCATAATTAAATATCAGAAGCAAATCTTAAATTATTACCTAGAGATTCTATAAATGTGAAGACCTTGTTTATTATAGCCAATGCTTTGGTGTAGTGTTTCAAGTGGTACAAAAACACAGCATAATTATAATAGTAAATACAGTTTTCAATATCCTCGAAAGAATCCAACAGTTCTAGATTTAATTCCATCTGTATAAAATTGAATTATTGAAGAAGAAAATGAGATAATTTAAAGCAATTAAATGGTCATATCATGACAAATTACCTGCTTACAGACATTTATAAACGCCTTTTGAAACTTGTCGGCTGTACACAGGCCATTTTTGTAGAACTCAACAATGGCTTTATTGAGCAATACTTTGGGATCGCTGGGCCTTACATTTTCAATTCGCAGCAAATATTCTATGCAAAATTTGTAATTTTTTTGTTCATATTCAGCCAATGCTTGCTTAGCCCAACCGCGTTCTTGGTCAGTTATATTAGCAACGGTCTTCTTCCCTTTCGGTTTCTGTTTGTCGGACATTCTTTCCGCTTACTGTGTACTAGGTTGTAGAAAAAGTATAGGTACACTTAAGATGTTAACTATAATGCAGTTGAACATGCGTTTTCGTGTAATTTCAAAACTTAATTTAAATATGAAAACGGGTGTTCGAGGCTTTTTTACTTATAATATGTTTCAAATAATTTYGTTCACAGATCGACGATCGTTTTGTTTTGTGCTTACACTTTAATCAAACATTTTCCTAACCACAAAAATATAAACAATTTTTGTCTTTTTTAACAAAATATTATGCTTAAGGTGTAAACCTTTGCGACCAATCAGAAACGTCACATTTGTTATCAATATTTGTGTAAATTACATTTCTTATCTTCCTTTATATCACCAAACCATGGACCAAGATATACAGGACTGGAAACGAATGAGTCGGCGGAGTGCGGGGTCTGGGCCAAATGTACAACCAGGGGTACAACATTCCCTATCTTTTTATGTTAAATAAATKGGTGACCTTGGATGCCGCCAAGTGCCGCCGTGTTGGCCAAAAAGTTTTGATAAGAAATTAAACAATTTTGATTCTTGATAACAAATTAATTTATTTTCATGATTTTGTAAATATARTAATATACACAATAATTTTTGTTACATTTGAAACTTAAAAGTTAACAATTAACTTATAACAAAGAACWAACCTTAAAATTTACTTATAATGACAATTTTGTCATTTTACATTTACTATACATGTGGTTTATTGTAAACAAAAATCGGTACCAACTTCAAGGTGGAGCCTCCAGTAATTCGATCATAACTTCAAGGCCGAGCCTCCACTATGTTATCACACGGCAGAGTGTCGTTTCTTGTTTGTTCTTTGGTACAACGCTTCCTCTTCTGACACCGGTACAACCGCGACTGCTGTGCCATCTATTGGCAAATGCAATAAGCCTATAAATATAWAATGTTATATTTAATTTACAATATACAACATTGCAACTGTATAGACGACTATAGACAATAATACACTTTAGAGCTTTAGACTTGTTATACAGATCTTGTACCTAATACCTATCTAAACATCTAATTTTATTACTTGAATATTATATATTATTATAATATATTTTGTACTAAATAACTAAGTCTAAGTTATATTATAATATGTATGTATATATATTACATAATTAAGTATAATATAGGAGGTAGGTACTGAGCAGGTCAATGGCAGAAATGCCAGAAGGCAGAAATCCATTAAAACTTCGGGGAGGCAATGATCCCACACAACTTAAAAAGGAGGGGGCTTGACGGACTTTTGGGGAGACTAAGCCTTGTAAGCCCCCTCTCCCCAATCTCTGCCTATGGAGCAGGTACTGATTATATAAATGATTATTTTAGTTTATTCTGAGGATTAAAATGCATTTAAAATTCATCAACTTTAAACATTATCAGTACTATTGTCTATTACTACATTATATATTATTTTTTTATGATAATAATATATTTTATACTTTATTATTATTTATTACTAACATTTTATTTGTATAGTTATATTATTTGTTATAATTAAGTTAAATTACCAAAATGCCTAGGCGGTGTAGTGTAGAWCAGTGTCATATTTAAAAAAAAACTATTAAATGTACATTGTTCAAAGCACCAAAMGATCCTAATATTTTAACAGCTTGGAACCAAGCTGTCTCTAAAGCTAATGGGAAAAGTTCCATTGCTCATTATGTATGTAAAAATCATTTTCCAGCAGAAGATTTAATTAGTGTATATACCAACTATCCTGGAGATTTAAATGTATGTTAAATTTTATGTTTATGCAAATTATAATCTATTATAAAATATACTCTTGTAATAAAAAAAAAAATGTATTACAGACTAATGAAATTGCCAAACGTAAAATATGTTCTTTAAAAAAAGGTGCAATTCCATCAATTTTTGATAGTTTGTTTGAATGTCATTCACAAAATGAAATCTTTAATGATAGTGAACTGGTAAAATATTCTTCAACTTAAWAGTAATTATTATTTTTACTTAATTAGCTATAAAATGTATACATTTTAGTTGCTTCCGAAAATCAAAATAAACGAAATTGCAGAAGAGAGTTATTATGGAAAGATAATTCACCAAAACAGTTCTGTAGTATTATTGATGTGGTGAATAGTATTTTTAGTTATTACCTATATTACATATTAGTGTTTACAGCCATTTATTCTGACTTATTTGCTACGTTTTATTTTATAGAAAGATAAATATGTAGATGAGCATAAAAATGAGGTTGCAGTACTTAATTATTTTTATGATGTATTTACTACTTATACAAATATTAAGTTACCAATTGGATGGTTATGCTATAGTAGTGAGAAAGCAGTGACATTTTATTCAGTGAAACATACATATAATAATACTCAAAAACTTATAAGTGTCATTGATAAACAAATAACTATCACTTCAAAACTTGAAATTGGATTTTATGTTCTGAACAATCATGAAATAAAATATGATGACATTGGGCTTGAATCAAAATTAACRTTTCCACTTATTATAAAAGATTTTGAAAAGTTAATTGAAAACTTTAATAAAAAAGTTGTRTGCTATGGTGGTCCCAATGCAACAAATTTTCCTGGTACGGTATCTACTAATTAAATATCTTTTTTAATTCATTAGGAAATTTAATAAATTCTATTTTGCCTTAGGTATTAGAGTTAAAACTGCATCATTAGGTTTCAACAATTTATGGCGTCATATAAAATGTGCATTAATAATTGATTCTGGAAAAAGGTGTAAATTTTGTGAACGTTTATTTTCATCATTTAGAGGATATAAAAAAAGAACTTTGGAAGCAAAAAAGAAAAAAATAGGGCCCTTTCTAACTCCTAATAGTAAAGAAAAATATAGTAATATCTTAAAATTTTAAAAAAAAACTATTGAAATCAAATTCAAGGTAATTATAAATTTATAAATATTGTTACCTAATATATGTATATATAAATAAATTGTATGTCAATCATAAGCGTGCGCACGGGGTAGTCAGGGTAGGCACTTGACTACTCTGCGAACTACTGAACAACTAGCCTCCCCCATCCTAATATGTTTGACCATTTCAAAATGTGCGTAAACGAACGTAAAAATAAGAATATTGGAAAAATATATGGTCTTTACTTCTTTAGTAACTGCCATGATAAAATTAGTTATATTATGTTAATTTAGAATTGTGATTTTAATCTCAAAAAGTTTTTCATTGAGACATTAACCATGAAAAAACAAAAAACCATA